TCCCGAGCGGTTGCTGGAATACCATGCGGGTTAGCTCAAAGTGCTAGCAGTTACCAAGAGCAGAGTGGAGTGTACCTAAGTGCCTGTGGGCCTCATCTCTAGCTGGCACTGGGAAGCCACGTGAAGAGGCAGTGTGGGCCCCCACCTGAAGGCAATGGATTTTGGGTGCAGGTAGGAAGGATGGAGAGATAACGGGCATGGAAAGGCATCCCATCTGGAGGCAGCTGATCCAGATAGTGGTGTGCCAGCCACGGGCTGTACATTAGGGAGACCAACCTAGAAATCCCTGGGAATCTATTGACTCTTTATCTCAGGTTCGTCCTATCCCCCCTAGGAAGAGCCTGTTTCTTAGGTGAGCCTGGTCTGAAGCACCATTCATTTCACCCATCCGCTTCTCCTCTGAGAAGAGAGGAGCTGTGTATATCCCTAGATCCCTGTATTGCTCATGGGCTTGTAGCTCGTAGCTAGCCTCTGATCTGTTCTAACCTTCCAGGGTCCAAGGTCCTTTTTCATTTTAACAAGCACTGACTGTGGCTGTGCCTCGGATCCCCTAGTATGTCCTATCTGCCTCCTGCCTTCCCCTGGGATGGGGCCGATGAAGGCTGTCAGGGAGCCTGGATTCATGAATATTTTGGGGAATCCCTGGAGACAGGTGCCTTGTCCCAAGACTAGATTCTACTAGATACAGCTTTCTTCCTTTCTCCTCCTCCTGAGTGCTTGATGTCCCTCCTGTTTTAGCCCAGTCCAACCCTCCCGAGCATGGAGCAATCAGCCGAGGTTTTGTGCCCACCAGTCACTGCTCTGCCATCGACTTCTTGTTGAGTTGGAGGAACTTCAGACTGCAGACTCAGCTCCCACGGGTCTGGCCTTAACCTACCCCATCCTGCGGGGTGCGGACGATGTTCTTCATCGGGGCTTCGGAGATGTGGCAGATGTGTGGGTATCTGGGGGCCGAAAAGCTTGGGCAAAACATTCCTATCCCAGCTCAGGCTTTAAAAACAGAGCAAGTTGAATGCAACTGACGTGCAGCACTGACACCTAGCGTCAGAAATACAGTGGTGCCTAAAAAGATTTTACTCAACACAGTAAATACGCATTTAAAATCGAGGTGGGCCTTATCCTGTGATGCTTTGCTTGAAAAGCAACATCCCCCAGCCTTTGGCTATAGTAAGGGGTGCAGGCAGAGCTTACATTCTCATACAGTATTTCCCGGCACCCACTCCCCCGCATGCCCCTGTCCCATTCGGGGCTTCAGCTGCGGGGCGCGGTCTCAGGGCTTCAGCCCCACGGGGCTTGCCAGGGCTCGGGGCTTCTGCCTCATGGGTTTGAAACTATTTACCAGAGCTCTGCTCCAGACAGTTCTGGCTGAATTTAAGCCCTGGGTGCAGGGATGTTTTAGCAGTATCCCGAGAGGGTGACGCCACCCCCCTAAACTCTTTAGAGCAAGGACTCTGTTTACTATATGGGCACACAGCACCAAGAGCAATTGCTCTAAGAGCTATTGTAGTAAAATTACGGGCTAATGGGGCTTTTGGCAGAAAGCTTTTACCAGGACACTGTCCATGGCTCACTTTCCAGACAGGTCAGTGGAGCTACATGATTTGCATCAATTGACTATCTGACCGTTTAGCCCAGTGGCAGATCTGGTACCTTGTGTGATTGTGTCAGCAGGCTTCTCGTAATTTTGGGTAGCTGCTGGTTTGTTTGTTTAAAGTAACAACCCCCTCCACCCAGAAGCCCCCTTCCAGAACCTTTCCGAATAGAAAAGAATTTAGACGAGAGCTTGCCAGTCACCACTGAAGAGGGATCCAAGCTGCAAAATTAGGATCTAGAGATGCATGTTCAAAATTCCCGAAGCTCAGGTATGTTTGGAGCATGGTATTGATTGTAAAATTAGGATCTATGGTCTACCTTTCCAAAAATGACTAGTGATCTTGGTCGCCTCCATTGTTCGATGCCCAATCTGAGACTCTTAAGAGACTTCCCGATTTTCAGCAAATGTTGAGGGTCTTGCCCTCTTAAAAAACACGCCCCTTTAAGGTTAACATCTCATGTTCAGTACCCAAAATCACTAGTCACTTTTGAAAATTTAGGCTTAAACCTTTATAAAATTCTGGAGTGTTTGTTTCAGGCCCATCTCTAATTGCCATCTAGACATTCAGAACTTGGCCTCCCTTTTTTGCATTCCTGAAACACATTCCATGCAATTATAAAAAGGGTTTTATTGATTGGTATGATATCTACAGTTCATGCTTTGGTGAGAGTACAGATTCCTTTATATCGTTAGCATGCAGTTTAAATGTGGAGGGTTTAGATGGCCTTTTGAGCTTCCCAAGTCCCCCAGAAGCTCACCTGACCCTTGTTCTCTGCCTTGTCCAATGAACCCAGCTGGTATTTTGGCTTTTGTGGAATTCAAATTCACCGCCAAGATTTTTTTTAAAATGGGACCCCAATCTGGGCTGGGGAAAAGGGATGTTTCAAACCAAAACAATTCAAGGGGATTGATGCTTAGAGCGGACTGAGCGTTGCTACCCTGTGAGTTCCTCAAGAGAAAAGAGCAAACAATTGTACAGGCAGAGAGTGCCACACTTAACAAATGCAATTAACACAACGGGAAGGCACAGTAGGAATTTGCAATAAGGGCCAGTCTGGGCAGCTCCTTTCATTTGAGTGCGACATCTGACTGAGCTCACACACAACCATGAAACCAGCTTTCCAGAACCAGATTGTCTGCCTTAGAGCAAAAGCTCACTGAAGCAGAGTGAATCCTGCCTGGTATTATAATGTCAAGGTGGGTCGCATTATAGTTACAACTGGCTCTGAATGCCACTTCGTTAAACTGTAGCATTCTTCACCTGCAGCCAAGCAGCACATGGAAAAAAAGGTATGATCCATACGTTACGAGCAGTGATAGTGAAGCTGGATTCCACAGGAGTTGAAAGTAACAAGAACGCTTTTCCTCTCTGGCTATGGCTGCTGCACTGTCTCCTCCTGGTACCTGCTGGTCACCTGTAAATTCATTTGGTGGCGCTTACGCAGGCAAGGACGCTCAGAGACTGATACTACCCCAAGGAAGCTGCCACCCAAGATCTGCCCTTCTGCTACCTGGACTGTAAAAGATTGCTACGTTGTGCCAGAAGCTTATAACTTTCAACTCAGTGCAACTGGGAAACGTAATGCTCCCGCAGCCTTGAAATTCCACTCGTCCCACCCGAAGGGGACAAAGTTTGGCAGGAACTCAGTTATCCAGTGCAAACACCCTGCAGGAAAAGGTGGAATTTTAAACTGTAAATCCTGTATATTTAGGATTTCCAGCACCCCCATGCACTCCTAGTTCCAGCACCTATTGGTACTTTGGCTTGGCTGGCTGACAGGTCAGGGACAACCCCCCCTCCGCACCCTCCATCTGTGAGTGCTGCTGCCTGGTAAATGCTTCACATTCACATGGCTAACTTGTGCCTGGTAAATGTTTCATGTTCACATGGCTAACTTTGTTTCAGGTGCCCGTCGATCCGTCCCTGTTGCTCAGCCACATATGCTCCTTTCGCTTTGCCCACCGAGGGTGTTTGTGTCTATGAATTAAGAGTTAATACAAAGAGGAGAGGTTAGATTTGGATCTCCGGCAAAAATGCAGAGTAACACCTCACTGACTTCCATTGGCAGCCACTTTGGTGGCAGGCACTCTATAAAGGTTATAGAGAAAGATGAAGGATAGGATACAATAGGAATTGTCATACTAGCTCAGACCAGGAGCCCATCTGTCTGGTATCTTGTCTCTGACAGTGACCAGTACCAGCTGCTTCAGAGCAACCTTCAAGAAATTTCCTTCATGGACAATTCTTGGACGAGCTTCCCTTAGCAGTAGTTTCACCCTAACTCCAGCAGTTACTGGTTAGCTGGTACCTAGAAGCAAGAGGGTTTATAACCCTTATAGTTGATCTAATGCAGTTGTTCCGGGTTTGACACCACTGTTACAGAGATCAGAAACTGGCCCACGGTCTATCAATTAAAAAACCCACGGTATGGAGTCTCGCTTGCACTCAAGATAATTGCACTCATGCTAAAGCCGCTCTGCCACGCTCTTGCAGTTCAAAAGGGCCGTAGGATAAATGGGAATCAGGTTTTATATAACAATTGGCTTTTTTTTTTTTTTACCAATTCAGCTTGAAACATCCTACTGGCAGGTTCCAGCTAGAGGGTGACACCTGACCACATCATCGGCCAATAGGCTCTGTTGGTTTGCCAACATTCTGAGGAGGGAGGGGAAGTGTGGGGCTCGAAAAACTAGTCTGCAAACCTTTGAACCACACAAATCTCCCCCAGGCAATTCCCCTTTATAAACCAGCTCCTACATCTTGCTAGCTACATAGAAGCCTGCAGTGTGTTTTAGGAGGATAGTCCCCTGAAAGTTCAGCAGTCTCAAGTAAGAGGAGACCAGTAAATACAGGATGTAAAGTTGCAGATCCTCAGCTCGTGTAAATCAGCATCATTCATAAGCACATAAGAACGGCCATACTGGGTCAGACTAAAGGTCCATCTAGCCCAGTAACCTGTCTTCCGACAGTGGCCAATGCCAGGTGCCCCAGAGGGAATGAACAGAACAGGGAATCATCAAGTGATCCATCCCCTGTCGCCCATTCCCAGCTTCTGGCAAACAGAGGCTAGGGACACCATCCCTGTCCATTCAGGCTAATAGCCATTGATGGACCTATCCTCCATGAATTTACCTAGTTCTTTTTTGAACCCTGTTATAGTCTTGGCCTTCACAACATCCTCTGGCAAGGAGTTCCACAGGTTGACTGTGTGTTGTGTGAAAAAATATTTCCTTTTGTTTGTTTTAAACCTGCTGCCTGAAGTCAATGTGGCTACACCCATTTACACCTGGTGAAGTTCTGACCCATAGATTTTAGCTATTTTTCCATTAGAATTTTCCTCTCACCCTTCCTCTCTGCTCCTCTCTTCCACAGTCTCTCTTCAAATGATCCCCATCTTGTCCCATGGCCTGTTCTGTTTTTCCACACTACCTTTGAAAAACTTGAATTCTCCTCCTCCCTCGTCTCTGATCCCTTTACCACAGTTCCTCCTACACAGAACATGAACTCCAAAACCATCCCAGCTGGCATCAAACTTTCAAATCCAATGCATTTGAATAGAGACAACTTGAGTCCCCTCTGGGCAATCCACCCATGCTGGTGGGAGCCGCATGGACACGCGTGCCGCAAGACAATGGTGGGGAATCATCAAGAGAACTGATTGGCTGGTTAGAGAGAGAACCGTAGGGTTTTTATAGGACAAAGCAGAGACCTGCCTCCATACTGGTGTGACCTAATAGGCTAAAAGGGGTAGCATCTAGTGGGTGGAATTAATGACACATCCCTCCTACTCTGGCAGGGAACCCTGCACAGGTTACTATTGTGCCACCCATATTACGCTACTGCAGAAGCCAAACAAACCATCAAGCCGCGTTAAAACGAGAGTGAACCTCCCCCCCAGCCTGGATTACTGGAGCGGGTGTGGTGCTGCCCTGAGGACTGGAGGAGAGCACGGGGGGAAGGGGGGGGTTTAAATCTCAATGACGGCAGCACGCCTCAGGCAGAGGGGGGCATCCGGGGGCACCGCGTTCCGTTGGATCTCGTTCCCATCCAGCCGCAAGACCTGGAGCTTGGAAAAGTTCATGACGTCGACGACTGTGCAGAAGCTGCTGATGGAGAATTCTGCAGGGAGAAAAGGAGACAGAGCGCTAAGAGACAGAGCCCACGACTCGCTAGCTAGTGTTCGTACAATCCTGCCGGAAAAGAGCCATGCCTAGGATGGATCCGGACTAACAGCACCATGAGTAGTAATAGTCATAACAGTGGATATGACTAGAATGCCTAGGCACTCTGGTAATATACTTTTTTGGACAGCGCAATGTCTTGCTCCATAGTGCAGACACAGGGCCTTTGAAATTCAGTTGAGAACCATTCTGCCCCCTTTGCCCCCCCACCCCTCCAAAAATCCCTCCCATAACTGAAAACCACACTTGGGCTATCTCAGTGGGGTTTGGAACATGTAGTACTTTGAACCAGGGCTAAGGCTTTCAGAACTGAGTAACGATTTTGAGACAACCTTCAGGAGGCCTGATTTTCAGACAGTGCTGACTGCATGCTCTCTGCAAATCAGGACCCTTAAAGTTGGGCACCCAACAAACGGAGGCTACCAAAATCACTAGCCATGTCTGAAAGGGCAGAAAATGCCCCGGCCCTGATTCTCCTCTCATTTATTCCTGTGTAAATCAGGAGTCACCCCACTGAAGTCAATGGAGTTACGCTCGTGTAGCTGAGGGAGGAGTCAGACCCTGCCCTCCTGTTAACCTTGGGAAGGGGAGTAGATTGCAGAGCAGGGCTGGGTCTGTTTTCCTTACTTCTAGCAAGATCTCTCTGCTAGCAGTGAAGGGGGCTGCTGTGATCCCAGCTGAGTCACTACAGAGCCACAGCAAACCTTGAAAGCCCCCTGTTGTATTGTGGGAGAGGGTGTGTTTTGGAGAGGGGCACGCTCCAGCTTTCCGAGCAGCCTTTGGGAAGGAAGAGAGCAACCAGGGGGCAGCAAAGCTCCAGGACTTGGCGGAGACTTAAAAAATACCTAGCCGGGGAGAGAGAATTCCTTAGCACAGATGTTCCTTGTTTAAAGCTGGGGAGGTGACTGCGCTGCTCACATGCAGACTCGGGAGAACAGTGAGACTCCATTTCTCCAGCACAACAGGGGGACAGTGGGGCAGGGAATAGGCATTGAGCCTCCCCCTGGCCCTCTGTAGCTCTTTCACAGGAGGAGTAGCCCTGACTAATGGTAAGAGCAGGGAAACGTGAGTTCTATTCCTGCCTCTGCTACTGTTTCACTACGTGTCTTTGGTCAAGTCACTTCATCTCTCACTGCCTCCATTTCCCTGTTATTTCTATGACAGCAGCACAGTGTTGCCGTATGTACTGATAAAATGGACTTCCGTATAAGTGCCAAGTACACCATTACAGAGAACTTTGAAGTACAAGTATGCTGTGGAAATAGAACTGATGTATTTATAAATACACGTACAAGTTCTTTCAACCCCCGTATTATAAAAATTAAGCTAATTCTTACAATAGCTGATCTGTTTTTTTCTTTGGACACTGGCCCGTCACGGAGTTGTTGCTACAGAAAAGTATCCATACAAAGGGGCCTTGTATTCTGGGCTTTCCCCAGGTGCTGTGAACAGTCTCCCCATTGCAGCTGGGCCGGGGAGTAGGTCTCCTGCTGCCGGTTGCATTGACCAATCAGAAACGAAGGTGGGGGGGCAAGGCCGCCACCCTCCCTGACTAGTGCGACAGCAGGGCCAGAAAAAAGCCCTGGCAGCTGGAACTCAGGGCTTGAAACCCTAAGCTGGGACAGTGGGTTCCGGGGACCAGCCAGACTCTGGGACAGTTGGGAGGGACGTGATGGTTTCCTACAGCTATTTTGAAAAAGTATTTGCAGATAAAAAAAGTTATTTATTCTTTAAGTACCTTTAAAATGTACTTAAATTCAAGTACTAAGTACAGAACATTTAAAGTACTTAAATACTAGTCTGTAGAGTACCTGAACCTACTTACCTACATGGGAACATGCAGTAGTATCTAAAGGCTCCAACCAAGATCCAAGCCCCATTGTGCTAAATACTGTCCATACATATAGTGAGAGACAGCCCTTGCCCTAAAGAGCTTCAGAAGACAAGACAGTGAGTGGGTGAGAAGGTTAAATGACTTGCCCCAAAGTCACACAGCTCGTTAATGGCAAAGCCAGGGGTCAAACCAATCTCTCCCCAAACCTAGTTCAATGCCCCATCCGCTGGTCCACACTGCCTCAGCTTCAGTCATTAGGATTTGTAAAGTTCTTTGAGATCCTTGGATGAAGACACTAAAGACAAAGTGGTATTGTCCATCGGAGACGAGTCACAGGGAGAATGTTTTCCGTCCAGGAGTTCACAACATCATTATCTTAAAAGCTCAGCAGAGGCTCCAGGTCTGTGTTAAAACAAAACATTGCCTCTCGATTCTGTCGATCTGCAGCATTCCTCATTCACTACAGGGAAATAAAGCTCTTCAGAGAACCCCATTGAATTCTTTCAAGCTCAGCTGCAAAAACAGCCGTAAAAATGCATGACCAAATAAACACAAGGGGTTGAGCGCCAGCATGATTTAACGCCATCTAGGCGCAGACTCAACAGTTGCACATGTTGAAAGCAAACATTTGGGAGTCTGTTCTCGTTTTGCATGTCTGTCACTTCCCAGTGCAGGTCTATGCGTTTCCCCTAAAACAGTTGATGGCATCACTAACACTTAATTTAAGTAAGTGATGCAGGCAGCACAGCTTGTTGCTCAGGTTTCTCTGATATTACAGAGCATCCTGATCGCAGGGCTTGTCAGGGGAGCGAAGCAGGAATGGATTTTTCCAGGCATTCAGCTTAAAAAAAAAAGTTCTGTTTGTTTTCTTATTTCAGTGAATTTCGCCCTGGTGAAAGATGCCAGGTTGATTCTGGAGATGAAAGGCTTCTGTTTAACCACAGAACCTGGGCAGCACAGGAAATGACAGGGCAAGCTTCCCACACACGATGCTTCCACTAACCTGGAGGGGCCCCTTTAGGGGTGTCTGTCTTAAGTGCTTATATGGCCCCCATAACTATAGTAACTGAGCACCCCACATTTTTAAAAAAATGGATTTACCCTCCCAACACTGGTGGGCAGTGCTCTTATCTGCATTGTACAGATGGCAAAGCAAGGCAAAAGAGACCAAGGGTTTGTTGGCACAGGAAAAATAATCCAGAAAAAGGTAGGATGTGAATTTAAAGCAGATTAACTACTCCTGATTCACTCCATGTGTGGATGTTCTTATTCCAGAATAGGAATGCCTTATTCTGAATTAGCATAATCCACTTTGGAGGTAAACTGAAATAAATAGGAGTTAGGCACCTAAATACCTTTGAGGATCTGCATGCAAGCTCTTTGGGGCAGCGCTCTCTTACCATGAGTCTATGCAGCCCCTAGCACACTAAGGTCCCGATCTCGGTTGAGTCTACAAGCAAGACAATAATAAATAATAAGATGAAACCCCTTCAGGGTACTGAACATCCTTCAGAAAATAACATTAATGACTTATGGTCAGCAATGGACCCAGTCTGGATTCGAAGTGGTGACTGTCAGGCGAAAGGTTCCCAAACCCCCCAAAATAGCACATTTAGAATCTCAAACAAGATTTTTCCATTTGCCTTTGAGGGGGGAACCAAATGTTGAACAGGAATGTTGCTCCTGTGACTTGGATGTTTTGGAGAGAAATCTAGACGCTGACATGAGACTTTCCGATGTGAAAGAAGCTGCCCATTACATCCAAGCTGCTTTGGGTGATCCAAGGTTTTAGAATAAACGGGTCCAAAGCAGAATTCCCTGATGGTGCCAAATTGGAGAAATTTTAAAGAGACGCTGATGGCAAAAGTTTAGTGGATCCCAGAAAGGAGGGATAGAGAGTGAGGCAGACAGAAAGGACCAGACAAAACCAAGCATCTTTTCTTCTTTGCATGTGTCTTCTTGGGATCCTCTGAATGAAGAGTCAGCTATGGAACCCAGTAACCTTTGTGTACTGGTTACTGGAGCCCACGATATGGGTTGCTTCAGTTACATGCTGTCACGGACTGAAGGCTTCCTCCTTCCTGTATTTGTTCCATGTGTATTTGTCAAGGCTCCTTCCCCACTCTGAACTTTAGGGTACAGATGTGGGGGCCTGCATGAAAACTTCTAAGCTTAACTACTAGCTTAGATCTGGTCCGCTGCCACCACTCCCAATGTGCTAATTCCCTTCCCTGGGTAGCCTTGAGAGACTTTTCACCAATTCCCTGGTGAATACAGATCCAAACCCCTTGGATCTTAAAACAAGGAGAAATTAACCATCCCCCCTCCTTTCTCCCACCAACTCCTGGTGGATCAAGATCCAACCCCCTTGGATCTAAAAACAAGGAAAAATCAATCAGGTTCTTAAAAAGAAGGCTTTTAATTAAAGAAAAAGGTAAAAATCATCTCTGTAAAATCAGGATGGAAAATAACTTCACAGGGTAATCAAACTTAAAGAGCCCAGAGGAACCCCCTCTAGCCTTAGGTTCAAAGTTACAGCAAACAGAGGTAAACACCCTAGTAAAAGGTACATTTACAAGTTGAGAAAACAAAGATAAACCTAACACGCCTTGCCTGGCTGTTTACTTACAAGTTTGAAATACGAGAGACTTGTTCAGAAAGATGTGGAGAGCCTGGATTGATGTCTGGTCCCTCTCAGTCCCAAGAGCGAACAACCCCCCAAAACAAAGAGCACAAACAAAAGCCTCCCCCCCCCAAGATTTGAAAGTATCTTGTCCCCTTATTGGTCCTTTGGGTCAGGTATCAGCCAGGTTACCTGAGCTTCTTAACCCTTTACAGGTAAAAGGATTTTGGAGTCTCTGGCCAGGAGGGATTTTATAGTATTGTACACAGGAGGGCTGTTACCCTTCCCTTTATAGTTATGACAGTATTGGAAATAGATGGAGATGTTATTAACTAAGTAGCCAGCACGCAAGCTACAGTTTAGGGTTGCATCCCCTCTCCAGTCTGGGCCTGCAGAGCTTCCATTGATGGCAGCTGGTTTCTGGGAACCAATAAGTGACCTTAGGAATGGAAAAAGAGAGGTGGGCCACAAAGACTTTTCAACCAGGAGATGCTGCCCCTACAGATGGGACTTCTGCCGTGGCTAGTGACAAGTGGTGTAACGGCCGTATCAAAGTCACAGACAGCATATGCGAGGGAGTCCTCTGAATGAGACCTCACACAGCTCCTGGTGTCTCTTGCGACATGGTACACTACTGTCCCACTGAGCCAGACTAATTCCTTGGCTCTGTTGCTTTCCATTCAGCTGTGTGCACGCTACATTGCACAGGTGTCTGGAAACTCCATAGCCCCTTAGAACAGTGGCCCTGGCGGGCCACGAGCAGGTTTCAGGGGGTCCACCAAGCAGGGCCGGCATTAGACTTGCTGGGGCCCAGGGCAGAAAGCCGAAGCCCCACCGCCTGGGGCTGAAGCCAAAGCCTGAGCAACTTAGCTTCACAGGGCCCCCTGTGGTGTGGGGCCCCGGGCAATTGCCCTGCTTGCTACCCCCTAATGCCGGCCCTGGCTTTTATGTGCAGAAAAACAGTTGTTGTGGCACAGACGGGCCATGGAATTTTTATAGCATGTTGAGGGGGCCTCAGAAAGAAAAAGGTTGAGAACCCCTGCCTTCGAATGTAATGTGCACCGGTAAAGAGGAAGCAGACAGAAGCTAAGCATTGAGTAGGGCAGGGGGAGCCTACAGCAGCAGTCATCGAAGCCTGGAGATGCCAGTCCTGATGGAGAACCGCTGATCAAGAAAGACTATTTATCCTGTGCCCAAATCTCGGATCTGGGATGGCTCAGGGACTGCCACAAGTGAAAAGCATTTGCTAACTGTTCCAACGTGAGCAGATATAAGAACCCCTGTGACAGCACAGACCCTGTTACCCCCGGCCCCATCTGACCCCAGCACAAACCCCATCATCCCACCCTGATGGAGACCCTCCATCAGACATTTGCTCAGGCTTTAGTGTCACTATCACCCAGGACACCCCAGCTAAATCCACACTGGAGTTTCTGGGCCAGTGCAGATGGATTTAGTTCCTGTGCCGAGGAGGCTGCCGGAAAGGCCAGGCAACCGCTCTCACTAATTGTCTGTAACGATGATGCATGCTGGGAGCAGTAGGGTGGAAGAGATGCACTGTGGCACTTTAGCCCCCCAGAGAGGGGAGTGTCACTATTTTTGGCCTCCGGGCCAGTAATGTCAAGCAGCCAGTGCTCCAGCCCAGGAATGGATACAGGATTAAGTTAGGCAGAAGCCCAAATGCATAGACACAAGTGCACTTCATGGGCCAAATTCAAGCTGGAGTGAACTGGTACAACTCCCATGAGTCAAATCAGTCTTGGTGTAAAATGACAGCATATGTTACGAGGTGCATGTAAGTGGCAAAGTAGCAAACCTTGCGCTGATCTGGCATTCAGAAAGCAGCCTTTGCCCATGCACGTAAATGGGAAGGTGCACCTACACCATTACCCATATTCCCAGAGTTAGCTTCAGGTCTGATGTAAGCAGACACAATCCCCATTCGGTTTAATAGGAGTTGTGCTCACTATTCAGGTCTGAATCGGGGCCCCACAGACTTGCACGCCCACTGAGTGCCAAAGAGTGGCGTAAGTTACTCCACTTTGCCACTTACCCCTCCTTCCGGACTAACCCTGTGTCATCTGGACCCAACTCTGCTCCCACCCACACCATTGACTTCAGCAGAGTCACTCCCCATTTACACCCACGTAAGTGAGAACGGAATCAGGTGCATCACTTGCACCACAGTTTACATCCCGGTGGAGGGAACCAAATGTACGTCTCTAGGATTATTCAGCTGTGCACCAGCGTGAGGGGGAGCAGAATATTGTCTTTCGGCTGTCATGCAAAGGATGAGTTTCTTTCTGTTCTTTTCACACCTTTTTTGTTGTGCTTTTTTGCTCTTTACACAACAAAAGTTTATATAAAGAAACCACATGGGCGCACAGCTGGGTCCCAAATAACTGTGTTTACTCGATGTACACAAACACACCAGACCTAGCCACCTACACGCTGCTGCTCTGACTGGCTTCTAATATAGTGAGCACCACGACAGTGTTCTCAAAATATTTAAAGGGATACTATCCTATTCTTATACATTATGCTTTCTTATGTCCTCTTCTCTCAGTGGCATCCCCCATTCTCAGTGCAGCCACATCACTTGTGCCTAAGATGACCTTTGTCATCTGACCTCTGACCATTTAATTCAGCTAGTATTTTTTTATTCATTAATATATCTCAATCTCGAGATTTCTTCGCCTTTAAATTCTCTGTGGAGTTCTACCTCAGCTTGCAGAATTTAAAAAGATAATCTCACAGACACGAGAAAGCCTTCCACTGAGCAAAAGGATAACACCTTGCACCTACCAGAGCACCGTGCATCCCAGCATCTCAAAGCACTTTACAAAAGTACCATGTAGATGGGGCAAACTGGGACACAGAGTAGGGAAGTGACTGTCCTAAGGCCACACAAGAAATCAGTGGTAGAGACAGCAATGGAATTTAGGTTTTCTGAATCCCAGCCCCTCTGCTCAGGCCATTAGACCAGGCTGCTTCCAACAAACAGTGCCAGAACCTGGCTCCCCATCTCCCTACCCCTTGTCCTGACCATTTGACACTAGGATCCCCTAGCATCAAGAGGGTGCTGTTGGGAGGCTGCTCACCATTGATTTGGTTCCCTTGGAGGTAGAGGTTCTCGAGGTTGGTGCTAACCCGGGGGATCTTCTGGAGCCTGTTATAAGACAGATCCAGCTCTAGGATGCTGCTGGTGTTGAAGGTGTTGGAGGAGAGCCCATCATTGGTCAGGCTGTTGTGGGACAGCCTGATATAGAGCAGCTTGGGGGACACTTTGAAATACTCATCAGGGATGGTGTAGATGTAGTTGTGCTCTAGGTAGAGCTGCTCCAAAGAGCTTGGGAGGCCATCGGGGACCTTCCTGAGGTGATTGTAGCTCAGGTCAACAAGGATCAAGGACTTTAACCCTTTGAAAGATGCTCCTATATCATGGATCTGGTTGTGGCTGAGATACAGGGCAGTAAGGTTCTCCAAACCCTCCAGAGCGTTGGATGGGATCCTGGTGATCTGATTGTAAGCCAGGTGGAGTTCTCTCAGGGACCTGGGCAGGGGGCTGGGCATCTTGGTCAGGTTGTTGTTATCCAGATACAACCTCTCCAGGTTCTTGAGCTTGGCAAAGACCCTCTTGCCCATCTTCTCACTGGTTATCTGGTTGCCATGCAGCGCAATCCATTCCAGCGTTGTGGCGTTGTCGAAAGCCCCCTCTTGGACGGTGGTGATCTGGTTGTTCTGGAAGTAGACGTACTTCATCCTGGAAGGCACAAAGGGAAGGTACCTCAGGTTGCGGCTGTCGCAGTACAACGCCGTGGAGAAGTTGGGGGGGCAGTCGCACTCCTGGGGGCATTCCCGGGAAACAGGCTCAAGGATGGGCTCCACAAAGGGGGACCCAGGTGGGACATAAGGGTAATGGGGGACCTCATCCTCGTAGTATGGCATGTAGTTATAGGACGACGCCTGGCTGCGAAGGTACTGATGCAACCAGTACATATCTTCTTCATCTTCATACTGGCCATGGGAGACCCCACACAGCCCAGCTACTATCAGGACAGAAGCCCAGTGCATTGTGCAGAACCTCATGGAACCTGTATGGAAGTGGGAAAAATATGAGCAACTTTAGGTCAGGCACAAGTGACTAGAAATAGGAAGCAGGAGGGAGTTTATCATGGGGAGGCATGGAGCCTAGAGCGTTGGAGAGGGAATCAGGAGACCTGGGTTCTATTTCTGACTCTGTCACTGGTTTTCTGGGTGACCTTGGACAAGTAACTTCCCTTCTTTTTTTGTCTCAGTTTCCCCATTTTTAAAATGGGGATAATGACACTGACCTCCTTTGTCAAGTGCTTTGAGGTCTGCTAATGAAAAGTGCTATAGAAGAGCTAGGTATTGTTATCATACCATTGAGGGAGGTGGCCCTTGAGTTGCAGTAATAGAGAGAGCTGGATCCAATTCACCATCCTTTCATTTGCTTTTTGTGAACATTCATGCCAGTGACATTTTGATCATGATAACTTATTTATTATGAATAATAATAATAATTAATAATAATAAATAATTAATAATTTTATTATTACAGTAGTGTCTATAGATGCTACAAATGAGATTGGAGCCCCATTGTGCTAGGAGCTGTACATTGTAAGAGTTCCTACTCCAAATATATATAGACAAGAAGTACACAGGATGGAGGAGAGACAGAGGCAGCAGGTCAATGACAAGCTGAGATGAGAACCCAAGATTCCTGACATTGCAAATATATTTAATGCACATGGACCTGTATAAAGATTTGCATTATGAGTGATTGCTTGGAAGCTCTTTAGGTGTCACCCAATAAGGAAGCAGAAACAATACCTTGTGACTTAAGTGACCAGTTAGACCCCATGAATAGCAATTGTTTGAAGTGACAAATAGTCAAGATGAAACCCAGAGGCTGAAGTAACCATTCATCATCGACTTTTGCTTAGCAAACACATTTATAAAGATCAAAGTCTATTCATGGATAATTTGCAAGCAGAAGAAAAGGGGCTAAATTAGTGACATGAAATTGTTGCTGTTAATATTTCATCAGGCTGCAGTCACAGACCCTGGCACCTGGATGCAATGAGACAAAAGCTGTTGGCTGGGGAGGAGGCCTGTTGGAGAGGGTTTTGGATTGGGACTCAGGAAACCTGGCTTCCATTCCTGGCTTTGTCACAGACGTCTTTCGTGACTTGGGCAAGTGACTTAATCTACCCCACGCCTCAGTTCCACATCTGTACAATAGGATTAATAGAATCATAGAAGATTAGGGTTGGAAGAGACCTCGGGAGGTCATCTAGTCCAGCGCCCTGCTCAAAGCAGGACAAACCCCCACTAAAACATCCCAGCCAGAGCTTTGTCAAGCTGGGCCTTAAAAACCTCTAAGGATGGAGATTCCACCACCTCACTAGGTAACCAGTTCCAGTGCTTCACCACCCTCCAAGTGAAATAGTGTTTCCTAATATCCAACCTAGACCTCCCCTACTGCAACTTGAGACCATTGCCCCTTGTTCTGTCATCTGCCACCACTGAGAACAGCCGAGCTCCATCCTCTTTGAACCCCCCTTCAGGTAGTTAAAGGCTGCTATCAAATCCCCCCTCACTCTTCTCTTTTGCAGACTAAATAAGCCCTACCTCAATAATACTGCCCTACCTTCCCATTAATGACAGTAGGTTTTGGCACACCATGGCCATGAGGGCCGTATAACCACCCACACAGTGGCTTACACTCTTTCCTGAAGGGAGGGGATAATGACCCTGCTGACTGAGGCATCTTCCAGTATGTACCAGAAAGCGCTTGATCAGCACTCAACGGCCTGGCCTTATTGTCATAGAGTGACCAGCAGGATGGAGAGGGGGCTGCTCCCAGAGGGTTCCAGCTACTCTGAGCATGGTGTGAGTCCAACTTATTGTTAAGGTCTGCTCTGCGGAGGGAGAAGGCTGCCCTTGTGCTTACAGCACTGGCCTGGGATGTAAGAGACCGGGCTTCAACTCCCACCTCTGCCACAGTCTTCCTGCGTCACCTTATCTCGCTCTGGGCCTCAGTTCCCTATCTGGAAATGAGGATAGGAATAACACTTCCCATTCTTTCTCTGTCTGGTGTATTTAGACTGTCAGCTTTGTGGGACAAGGACCGTCACTGCCCGTATGTACAGCACCTAGCGCAACGGGGCCGTGCTCTTGGCTGGTGCTACTATAATCCAAGTAAGAGTGGAAGATCAGAGGTCCCCTTACAGGCATGCCCAGGCCCTTGCAAAGCTGTGAAATTGGTGCCTGCTGGCCATTGTGATCTAGATTTGCTGCCCCTGCAGACAGCCTGTCCAAACTGGGCCTTTGGCGGGGGCGTCCCCAGACTAATTATCACAGGAGACCTCTGGGTTACTTGTAGCAGGCCTGACAGCATCCATAGCCCTGGCTCAGACATACATACAGAACAGAGCTGCAGGAAGGGGGGCGTTATTTATAGCTTCAGCCCTAATGAGGAATCCCGGCGCTCCAGACAAAGAGGGTACAGTCCTGCTCTGAGCCAGACTGCGCATCGCCACCTAGGCACACTGCTGGCTGGCAGGCTGCTCGTGTGGGAAGAAAAGAGGGATTGAAACACTCCGTGGCTGGGCTCTTGGGTTTCTTCCATTTTCCATACGTACAGGAGTTCCGGCAGTCGATGGGGCCCGTGAAACTGAGTCTGTGTGTGGTGCAAGAGCTTGGCATGCAGACTGCTTCAGAGAGCAGCTCTCCTCCTCCTCCCATTCCAGGGGTACCTTGATGGGTAAAATACTAGTCCTATTTCCCGATAAATGGGCTTCCTCCACCCCCACTAAAGGCCATCTTTCCCACTGTATAGCACCATTCCTAGGGAGTCTGATCCCTCTATTTGGCACAATTCCTAGGAGTTCTGTCCCCCAATTTGGCACCATTCCTAGGGGGTCTGTCCCTCCATTTGGCACCATTCCTAGGGGGTTTGTCCTCTAATTTGGCACCATTCCTAGCGGGTCTGTCCCCCCTATTTGGCACAATTCCTAGAGGGTCTGCCCCAATTCCTAGGTCTCTCCCACTATGTGGCACTGTTCCTAAGGGGGAATCTCCACTATCCACTATTGTTCCTGGGGGTACCTTCCTGCAAGTACACACCATTCTGAGGCGGTCTTTCCCTCAATCTACCCGTTCCTAAGGAGTCTCTCTGGGGTTTGTCTCTCAACCTACAGCCCCCTTCCTACAGGGAGCTTTCCACTGTCCAACCCCATTTCTACGGTGGGGTCTGTATCCCTTTCATGTGTAGGATAACACAAGTTTAACTTCTTCATCTGTCAGCATGAATAAACTGGTCCCAGTTCCACTGGCTGCTAGTCTAATTGGGATTGTGCTGCATAGGGCACCTTGCTGGAACAACCAGAGTCAGACAGCATGAGCTTCATCCATTGCCACCTTCTCACCCTGTTAACCAGATAATAGCCCTCATCTAGAACCGAATGCAGAGCCAGGTAGATGTGCTTGGTGGAGGAGGTGGTGGTTGGGGGTCTGGAGACTAGAGTCTGGCATGAACAGGGCCGGCTCCAGGCACCAGCTTAACAAGCAGATGCTTGGGGCGGCCAAGGGAGAGGGGCGGCATGTGCGGCAATTTGGGGGCGGCAGGTCCCTCACTCCCTCTAGGAGTGAAGGACCTGCAGCTGAACTGCCACCGCCGATTGTGGGTTTTTTTTTTTTTT